GAGGCTGCTGCCGCCGCCCGCCACCACCCCCCCCCCCACCAGCCGGTAGGGCGAGCTCCCCACTTGCCTGACCACTGCTGCACGCATCTCGTGGCCTATTTACCAGCCTGCGCTGTCTCCTTTGCTGGTTTGCAGAGCCTGGAAGCGCGCAGCGCGCGACTCCGACACAGCACCGCTCGGAACAGCACCGCTAGGGGCTCAGTGGGGGTCGTCTGCAATTGCAAAAATCAAGTCAGAAGGATTAATAAGAACGCTGTGTAAATGAGGCTGCGGCGTGCTGTGCTGTGGGGGACGCACGGCTGTGGGGGCACCAGGAGGCTCGGAAGCCCATCCATCCTGGCTTTGAGGTTCAGAGCGAGGGCGCACTGCCGCTGCAGCCTGCCGACAGTGAAGCGCAGGTTCTGTGTGCCGCTGGAGCTGCGCTTTGCGGGCTCTGTGTTGCTTCGGCTGCCCCCCTGCGAGCAGCCAGGCGCCATGGGCGGCGAAGGCGGCAATGTGGCCCTGTCCGTGCTGCGACAGCGAGAGTGCGGCGGCAGTCACAGGTGCGTGGGCGCCGCCCCGCTGGCAGCGTTTGGGAGCAGCCTGGCGTGCTCCTTTGAGCCCTGCTTGCGCGCGTGCAACCCCCAGGGCTGTAAAACACCAAGGCGGATGCACAGCCATCCGCCACACACACCTCGCGCCGCCGCTGCTACCGCCGCCGCTTGCAGGGCTGGGCTGCAACGCGCCGCCAGCCGGCACTACCTAGATTGCCAGCCGGCGCTGTGGCAGGAAAAGGAGATCACGGGCCAGCTGGCCAGCACACTAGGGCCTGACGTCGACAAGGCCTTTGCAGCGGTGAGCGGGCGGGGGGCGCCGCCGCTCGTGTCGCGCTGCCTTGCATGGCTGCCGCCTGCAACCTTGCACGCAGCCACCCTCCAAGCGTGTTGGCCTGCCTCCTGCTATGGAGGCGCTTGTGATCGATGGCCGATCCCCGCCCTGTGCATCGCCTTTCTTTCCACCCGACCGCAGGCATGGCAGGATGACCACCGGCTGCTGGTGGGCACCAAGTCCAACCACCTGCTGCAGTGGGACACGTCAGCGGGCATGCTGCGGTCCATCCCGCTGCCGCCCGCGCCGCCACGGCAGCACGAAGTCATGGAGACGGTGTGGGGCGCCTGCGGCATCCATTCGGTGGCCGTCAACCCCGCGGGCGACATGGTCGCCACCGGCGGCACCGAGCCAGCGGACTGCGCCGTGCTGCGCCTGCCCGACTTTGCGCCTGTGCAGACGCTGGTGGTGAGCGCGCTGCCCGCGGCCGGTGGCCGGGAATTGGCCCATGCAGCCGTAGCCGCAGCTGCCGTGCTGGCACAAGAGGGGACTCACCGGGGCAGCTTGGCCAGCACCAGCCTGCCCCTGTGCACCCACCCACCTGCCTGCCTGCCCTCCTCATGTCTCGCACCCCTCTGCTCACCCGCCTGCAGGGCCACGTGGACTGGGTGTTTGGGGTGGCCTGGGTCAGCGACCGCCACGTGGTCACCGGGTCTCGGGACCAGTCGGTAGCGCTGTGGAGCATTCCGGAGCCGGGGGAGGGCGCACCAGACGTGCAGTACAAGGGCGCAGACGGCCCGGACGGCCTGCAGCGCAAGTTTGAGGTGGGTGGCGCTATGCGCGGGGCGCGGCGCCGGGCTGGAGCACACTGACCTAGCTGTGCCCGGGGTGCGCCATGCATCCTCCAGCACGCTTTGCCGATTGCAGGCCCCTTGTTTCCTTGCTGCCCCATGCCATGCCATGCTGTGCTGCGCCGCGCCGTGCCGTGCTGCCTCATGCCTCATGCCCCACCGATGCCGTGCTGTGCTGCGCCGTGTGCCGATGTGCCGTGTGCCACGGTGCCTGGCTGCAGGGCAAGGTGCGGGACGTCAAGTACGACTTTGAGTCCTGCCGCCTGGCGGCGCTGTCCACAGACGGCTGCGTCAAGCTGCTGGACGCCGCCCGCAACCTGCGCACGACGCGCACGGTGAGGCAGGGAGGGTGCGGGAGGGGTGGGCGGCTGGGCAGCGGGTGCAGGGCTGCCCAGCTTAAGCTCGAGCCTGGCCTTCGGCCCCCGCCTTGTGGCAAACACACGCAGCGATACATATGTCATGCCACATACATTTACATGTACATGCATGTGTGAGCGCATCGCCGTCGCCCCCCCGCAGGTGAAGCTGCCGCTGACCAAGGAGCTGGTGTGCATGGAGCAGCGGCACGACCTGCTGGCGGTGGGGTCGGTGGGGCACGTCACGCTGCTGGACCCGCGCAGGTGGGGCGGCGGCGGGGGTGCCTTCACTCCGCCGTGTGCTGCCCTGGCGTGGGCGCATGTATGCGGAGGCTGGGGTGGGTGGTGGGTGGTCTGTGGGGTGCAAGAGGCAGGGTGCCTGGCTGGAGGTTCATGCGCAAGTCGGCAGCCGGGCCTCCGTACCGCAACCCCAGGCCTGGGGCTCAGCCAACCTGGGGCCCACCCACCCCACTCGCCCCAACTTCAACGTGCCCTCTCCCGCAGGCGCACGGCGGATCTGTGCTCGGTGGCCTCTCCCGACGAAAGCCAGGGCGTGCGCAGCGTGCAGCTGACGGAGCACCTGCTGTCGTTCGGCACCGGCCGCGGCAAGCTGTTCTTCTTTGACCTGCGCGCCTCTGCTTTCCTCCCCACCGAGCCCGCCCCCCAGCACGCGTTCGACTACGGCGGCGAGGGCGGCCTGCCGCGCTGCAAGCTGGCGCCGGCGCTGGCGCCCGCGTGGCAGCCGCGCCAGCACCTGCAGCTGGGGCCGGGCCATGTGGTGCTGAATGACCTCTACTATGACCACTTTGCGGGTGAGGGCTGGCAGCTGGAGACAATGCCAAGCAGGCAGCTTTTCTGGCGGCAGCAGGAGCCGTTGTGGTGGCGCCCGAGCGCCGAGGGCGCATGGCCATGGCATTAGCGCATGCCACCGGCACCCACGGTTGGCCCTACCCTGTCCCTCTTTGGTTGCGCAGGCATGGATGTCAAGCACGCCTGCTATGCACACACCTGGGATGCCTCCCGCTCCCGCCTCTTTGTGTGCGGCGGCCCGCTAGCCTTTGGGTTGCAGGTGAGCAGCGGGCAGGAGGGGCAGGGCTGGTGTGGATTTCTTACTGTGCTGATGGAAGCAATTGCGGCGGTGGCGGCTCAGGATGGGGAGGTGTCCGTCTGTGTGTGTCTCTTGACCTTTTCTGCACACGTGCCCTGGTGGCCTGCAGGGCCTGTATATGGCCGTCTGGCACTGAATCGGCTGCGTCTCCACGTGTGAGTGTGAGAGATAGAGGTGCGCGCATACCGAGGCCCCCACAAGATGTGAGACCACCCCAATTTTTGCCTATGTGCTGCCGGCGTGCTGGATGGATAAGCTGCGCAGCTGCTGCACCTATTCGTTCCTTCCCACTGACATCTTTCCCGCTTATCGTCAGCATCTGCTATTCACGGCCCGCTGCCTGCGATGCAACTCTCTGTGCCCCTACCCGTACTGTATTGCACCTGCCTTTACTTTGATTGGTCCTGCCGTTCACGCCCTCTCATCCCTTCCTAGGCAGCAGCGTGCGGGGTGCTGCAACTGCGCTCCGTCACACACTGTATTGCTAACTCTGTGCCTCTCCGACCCTAGCCAGGACCACTACCCGCCTGTATTCACGCTGCTATCCCTATGTCCTTCGTTCTGCCCCTGCCATCTATTCGCTTCCCTGCCTGCACACCGCGGCGGTGGCACTCTCTATTCAGTCATGGCGTCGTGCCTTACGCCTTACACAGTGGGCCACACCCGTATGGCTGTAACCCGCGGCCGCCTTCAGAGCTTGGGCGCGTCTGTGGTCGGGATCTGGCGCCCTGGGCGCCCCAGCGCCGCTACCAGCCCTGCCGCAGCGACCACAGCGCCGCCCGCCCACGTCAGCGGGCCCACCTGCTCCTGCAGCACCGCCGCGGCCAGCAGGGCCGACCACAGAGGGATGGTGCTGAACATGATCTGGGCGGCTGAGGGCGAGACGAGCGCCTGGCCCTGCAGCCAGCAAACATTGACAGAAAGTGTCAAACATCAACAAGGAGGGCACCCAACCGACAGCCGGCAAGCGCAAACACAGTACTTGGTACAAGAGCAGACAGTTAATCGTAGGAGAGCATGCACGGGCGCATGGATGCGGGACCGCACTGCCGCACCTTGACGACCAGCACGCTGGCCAGCGCCCCTGGTCCCAGCGCAGCCCACAGCATGATGCCCCAGCCCTCGGCACTCTGCCACCCCGGCCACAGCGCCGCGGCGGGCTGGCCTGCTGCGGCAAGCTGCCCCGCCTGGAGCGCCGCCACTCCAGCTGCCACCGCCGTCAAGAAGGCAGACTTGCCCAGCGCCAGCTGCAGCGGCGTGACTCTGTGCTTCACCGCCCACACCGGCATCCGCACAGTGGCAACCGAGTAGCTGATTGCTGCTAGCAGGGTCAGCACATCCCCAGCAGCCAGGCCCAGGCCTCCGGTTGCTACGGCGGCTGCCGCATCCGGCACCGATGCCCCGCTGGGGTCCTGGGTGATGATGACCGTGCCGACCAGCGCCAGCACGCTGCCCAGCCACACCGGCCTGCAGCAGTTGCCCGAGAAGACCAGCCGCGAATGGCGCGTGAGTGTGCTGCTCCGAGGCCACGAGCAGGGCTGTCAGGATGCTGTGAAGCAGAGACTGTGCCAGCAACACCAGACCCCACTGCGCGCTGCCCCCACCTGCTGGGCGCCATGCCGGCAAAGGAGGACAGGATGGGTGTGAACAGGATGGAGGCTTGGATGAGGAAGGCGGCGCGGGTGGCGCTGGTCAGCGCCAGCCCCGCGATCTGTGTGTAGCTGGCTGCCGTGTTGTACAGCCTGTGTAGAGGGACCAGGGAAGCAGGGTATGCACGTGGCCTGTATGGTGCGTGTTCGGGCAATGGCAGGCGGTGGGCAAACATGGGCCCCCAGCAACCGACATAGGTCGACATCAGCCCTCCCGGCTGGCCCATGCACTCACCCTATCTCTAGGCCTGCAAGCACCGCCGCAGGCAGCACCAGCCAGCGCCACGGCAACTCCACGGCAGTCCCCTGCTCCTGCTGCTGCATCTCCCCCTGCGATCCTGGCCCGGCTCCCGCGCTTGCTGCCACCGCCACGCGCACCAGCGCTGCGCCCAGCAGCACGACTAACTCAATAACAGCGCTGACCGCAGTCACTGCCACCGGCGTGGGCGGGCCCGGCAGGTTGTATGCTAACCTGCGCAGACAGAAGGGCGGTGTGCCGCGGTGAGGAAGTGGCACAAGTGGGAACAGGCAGGATGAGCAGCTGCTGGCAGGTGGAAGGCCACTCACCGCAGGGCGGGGCCGTATGAGCCCCACAGCAGGGCCACCACCAGGAGGTAAGCAAAGCCCTCCAGCTCCCTCCCTCCAGGCAGAGCTAGGGTAGCGTTGCCCTCCACAGCTGCGATCGCTGCCTCGAGCGGCGCTTCTGGCAAGGAGTCGTGCTGCCGCTCGTCCACCGCCTGCGCCGCCGCTGCTGGGCCACCCGCCTGTCGCTCTTCGCTGCCTAGATTTGCTGCTACGGCCCTTTGGTTGCGGTGGCGGGCTGTGCTGCCCTGCCGGCTGGCCCTGCGCGCCGCTGCATGTGGCCGCTGCATGGCGCCATTGGGCCATGCCCTGCAGCTTGGAACTGCTCCGGCAGCAAATGCTGCATCGGAATGAACAGAGGCTGCGACAAGCCGCATTCCGCCAGCTGCAGACCGGCCAGCCGAAAGCCGCCTGCTGTCCAATTCTTCTCAACCACAGCCAGAGAGATCGAGAGTTGTGTGACAGGCTGCGTACATAATAGCTGCGAGCTGTCACACGTTGGAGCATGCCTCCGCTGTGCCCGCCTGGCAGTGCTGCCGCCAAACCACCGCATCACTCACATCCTCTCTTCAAATCGCCACTTGCATTGCCTGGCAGTTCATGGTTTACAAGTCACGGTAAAGAATTGACTTACTGAATAAAATATCAAGTTCAGCTGTTTGGCAGGCATGCTCAGCTGGCGGCCAGCGCCGGCACCTTGACGGCGCCGCGGCCGGCCATGGCTGCAGTCATCCCCGCGGCGGCAATCAGCGCGCCGCCCACGCACGTGATCAGCCCCACCCGCTCCTCCCGCAGCACCGCGGAGGAGATGAGGGCGGCCCAGAGGGGCACCCCGCCCAGGATGATCCGCGAGGGCGCCGGCGGCACGATGCTCTGCCCCCGGACGTGCAGCACGCTGGCCAGCGCGCCGGGGCCCAGCGCAGCCCATAGCATGATGGCCCAGCCCGCCGGCTGCCGCCACCCGGGCCACAGCGCCGTGACGGGCTGGCCCGCCGCCGCCAGCCGCGCCGCGCACACGCCCGCTGCCGTCGTGGCCACCGCTGTCAAGAAGGTTGACTTGCCCAGCGCCAGCTGCAGCGGCGTGACCTCGTGCCGCACAGACCACACCGGCATGCGGACCGTGGCAAAGGAATAAAACAGGGCGGCCAGCAGGGTCAGCACATCGCCAGCAGCCAGGCCCAGGCCTCCGGTCGCTACGGCGGCTGCGACGCCCGGCACCACCGCGCCGCTGGGGTCCTGGGTGATGATGACTGTGCCGACCAGCGCCAGCACGCTGCCCACCCAGACACTCCTGCGGCAGCGGGCAGCGGCGGCAGGCGGAAGTTGGAGGCATCTACGGACGCCGAATGGCCATGGGCAGGCTGGCGCAGCCGATGAAAGCCCTACAGCAGATGCGTCGGGAGTGGCCAGCGCTGGCTCAACCTGGCATGCCTGGCAGCGCCGCGCACACCTGCTGGGCGCCATGCCGGCAAAGGAGGACAGGATGGGCACAAACAGGATGGAGGCCTGGATGAGGAATGCCGAGCGGGTGGCGGTGGTCAGCGCCAGCGCGCCAATCTCGGCGCAGTTGGCCAAGGCGTTGTACAGCCTGCGGCAGGGGAGAGGGAGCGACAGGGAAGAGGGAGCGGCAGCCGCGACACGTCAAGTGCTACGGAGACAGACAGCTACTTGCCTTGCAGGGCATCAAGGAAGCAGCAGGCGGAGCCTCGCCCCTCCTCACCCTATCTCCAGGCCCGCCAGCACGGCTGCAGGCAGCGCCAGCCAGCGCCACGACGACCGCCCGGCCGCGCCTGGCTCCCGCTTCAGCTGTGCCCCCAGCGCTGCCGCTTGGGCTGCCAGTGGCGGCGCCGCCGCTGCCTGCCCTCTTCTGGAGGCAAGCCTGGCCAGCACAATGCTGATCAGCACGACGAGCTCGATGAGGGCGCTGACGGCGGCCACCGCCACCGGCGTGGGCCCGCCCGGCATGTTGTAAGCAATCCTGCGGCGTGCACGACGAGCGGCGAAGGTGCGGTGAGCTGCCAGGCGGGGGGGCAGGCTGCGGCAGGCACTCTGCAGGCTGCGGCTGCCGCCCCTGCTCACCTCAGCGCCGGGCCGTAGCTGCCCCACAGGAATGCGACCATCATGAGGCAAGCGACGCCCTCCAGGGTGCGTGCTTTGGGGAATGCGACGCCTGCGCTGCGTTTGGCAGACCCTGCGCCTGCCGCGGCCTGCCCTGCCTTACGACTGACGGGCTGCTGCTGCTTCGCCGCTGCAAGCTCTTCTGAACCAAACTGATAGGTGACAGTGCCATCGGCGTGCAAATCCACACGGCGCAGCCCTGCTGGTTCCCCTGCTGCGCTGCCGGCAGTGTCCTGCGCCGCGGCCGCCGCCAGTGGCGGGGGTGAGGACTCGCCGCCTGCTTGCAAGCCATCATCGCTGGCCTTTGCTGCAAGCCCGGCTCGCACACGGTGCTGCAGGCTGCCGCTTGGCCTGTGCGCTACAAGCCCTGTGCGGCGGCACTGCGCCCCAGCCAAGACGACATCTGGGTGGACAGAGGTCGTGAAGAACCTCATCCTGCCCGCTGGGCAGGTCTAGCAAGCGGGAGGCCGCGTGTTGATGGTGGGCGAATGAGACTGCAAGCCGTGAGCAAACACGCACAAGCGAACCAACAAACGATCGCAGGCGCCGATGGGGCCAGCAAGCCATGTTGGGTCAAAGTGGCCAAACGCCGCCTGGCGCCAGCGCGACGACGGCGGGTGGACCCCCCTGCGCGCTGCCTCTCTTCTGGATCCTGCATGCCGATTCCGGTAACACGCACACGCCCAGCTGCATCTGATCATTGCTACCCTGCGCAATTCCCTACCAGCCACCCCAAAGCCAGTGCGTGACACGCCAGCAACCGCTGGACCAGCTGGCCAGAGTGCACATGCAGCCATTGCATCTTCTGCAGCCATTGCATTCATCAGAGCTTAAAGACAGAAACCAGGTGGCACAGCCCGAACAGTTCGGCTGGCTCAGCGCCTCAGCGCCGCCCTCTGCGCGGCAGCGCCGCCACCAGGCTCGCCGCGGCGATGACGCCGCCGCCCAGCCACGTGGCCAGCCCAATTTGGTCCTTCTCTCCAGGCAGCACCAGCGCAGCCATGAGGGCCGACCAAAGCGGCACGCTGCAGAAGATGATCTGGGCCTTGGAGGCGTCGGGGAGCAGGCTCTGCCCCTGCAGCCAGCCCGTTGCGGGGAAGGGGCAGCGCCATACTCTGCTGCAGCCGAGCCGCTGCGCCACAGCTGAGGCAGCGGTGCAGCCAGCCAGCTGCGCGGGCGGGATGCGTGCGCATGCACGCCGTGCGGGAGAATATAGCTCACCTTGACATGAAGAACGGCGGCCAGGGCTCCCGGCCCCAAGGCGCTCCAGGAGATGATGGCCCACCCCTCCCAGCCGCGCCACCCGGGCCACAGCGCGGTCGCCGGCTCGCCCGCCGCCACCACTCGCGCGGCCTCCAGCCCCAGCACCGCCGCCGACACCGCCGCCAGGAAGGCCGACTTGCCCAGCGCCAGCTGCAGCGACGCCACGCTGTGCCGCACAGCCCACACCGGGATGCGCACCGTGGAAGCCGAGTAGCAGAGCGCAGCAAACAGCATGAGCGCATCGCCGACTGGCGAGGTCGCCGCGGGGGCCGCCGTCGCCGCCGTTGCGGCGCCGGCAGCTGCAGGCAGCGCCTCCAGGTGCGCCTCCATCCAGCGGTCCAGAGTGATGAGCAGCGTGCCGACCAACGCCAGCAGGCTGCCTGCCCACACCCGCCTGCGAGGGCAGGCCGGGAAGCACAACGGGCGGTTGGGGCAGTTTGGGGTACTGGCCGGGGGAGCATCTGCAGATTCAGATGCGCAGGCAAGGGCAGGTCGGCAGGCACGTGCTGGGCACCGCAGAGGGAGGGAGGCATTCCCCACACCCGCTGGGCGCCCTGCCGGCCAGGGCGGCCAGCACAGGAGTGAACAGGATGGAGGCTTGGATGAGGAAGGCGGCGCGCGTGGCGGTGGTCAGCTCCAGCCCGGTCGTCTGCGCCAGCGTGCCTGTGGTGTTGTACAGCCTGCGGCAGGGCGGCGGCGCAGGGTATACATCCTGTGTGTCCTGCCAGTGGTGGTGTGTCCCGCAGCACGGCAGCCACCCCTGGCGGGAGAGGAATCAAGAGGCTGAGCAGCACGCAGACCGTCTCATCAGCAAGCGACGCAGATGGCTGGCCGGTTCCAAGCTCCCACCCACCCTATCTCTAGTGTGGCTAGCAGCGGTGCCGGCAGGCCCAACGGCAGTCGAGGCGGCGGCTCAGCCACCTCCTCCACCACAACCACCGCGGCAGGCCACGGCTCCAGGCCGCCCGCCGGCTCCGGCACTTCGTAGAGCAGCTGCGGCGGCGGCTGCCACGGCGGCCTGCCGCGCTGGCGTGCCGCCGGCTGCGCAGGCGCCCTGGCATGGAGGAGCGGCTGACCCAGCTCCTCATCCTCACTGGGCTCCTCTGCACCGCTGCTGGCTGCCTCCTCAGGCGCCGCTGGCCGAAGAACATGCGGCTCCAGGCCTGCGCCGTGCGCCGCAGCCGCCGTGGCGGGCCGCCAGGCTGCGCCGCCGCCCAGCAGCAGGGAGGGGCCCAGCAGGAGCAGCAGCTGCAGGGTGCCTCGGGCGGCCGCCAGCACCACGGGGGCCGGCGGGTCGGGCAAGTTGTATGCAAGCCTGCAGGGATGGTGGGCAGGCGCGGTGCCTTGTTGGTTCTTCTGCGGGAGCCAATCGACAGCACAATCTGCAGGTGCGGGCCTGTGATGCCAGCCGCACAGCGTCACCTCAGGGCTGGGGCATAGCTGCCCCACAGGAGCGACGCGACAAGCAGGCACGCCTGCCCCTCCAGGCGTTGTGCTGCCGGGAGGCGGCTGGCCTCCGCCGCCTGCGCAGCTTCACAGGTATGGAGCTCGGGCTGCCCGGCAGGCGGGCGTGGAGACGAGCGCCGTGCCTCCTGGTCGTCCATGCCTGTGGCGCACGGCGGCGGCGCAACCTCGGACCGCCTCAGCGGGCGCTGCAACCGGCGGCGGGGCGCAGCCCGGCTGCTCTCAGTCCCTGCAGGCCCTCCTCCTCTGGCCCTGCATCCCGTGGATGAGTGGGTGGGCGGGCAGCAGGGTGCAGGCCCCACAAACTTGCCGGCACCCTCTGGGCAGGACAGCCGTGTGGCCCTGGAGCATGGCAGGGCGTGGCCCATGCCACTAGCCTGGGTCTGCTGATAGCTCCAGGGCGATGAGAGTGTGAAATGGGGGTGGAAACGAAGGGGTGGAAACAGCAGGAGAGCGCAGCAGCACATCCATGATCGAGTTGCACTCGGGTCCAGGCTGCTCAAGCAGCTCTGGGCACTCCAAGAGGCTGGCCAACGAGGCCTGCTGCCACAGCCCACCAGGTGCAGCCTCCCCGTCTCCTTGGCCCCCTGGCCCCTTCGTCACCAGCATGACGGCTGCAAACAACAAGGTTGTGGCCACTCTGCTGCTGGCAGCGCTGCTGGCGCTGCACCCCGCCACCGCCGACTGGCGGACCTGCGACGAGGTGAGCGGGCGCGCCGCCGCCACCCGGAAGTACACTGGCTAACGCAGCATGCTGGCGTGGGTGGTGGAGGCGGTGGTGGGACCGCTCGCCATCCAACGCCCAACCTCAGGCCACCCGCCAGCTGAGCTGCCCTCTTCTGTGGCGGCTGCTGGCGCAGGGTGAGTTTGATGTGACGGGCGGCGACGTGGAGCCCTACCCCGTGCGTGCCGGCGAGGAGGTGGTGTTTCACGTGAATGTGACATCTGGTGCGGCCTGCTGCGCCGGCCTGCAGCTTCAAAGGAATTCCTGGTGCGGCCGTGGAGGGGGTGCGTCGAAGGGCTGCTGGCCTGGCAACCTGTTCTGGGATACCATGCAGGCGCGCCCATCACCGGTGGTTTGCTGGAGGTGTGGGTTGACTACCTGGGCTTCCACGTGTACAGCAGCCAGGGGGACCTGTGTGAGGCGGTGGCCTGCCCCCTGGCGGCGGGCACCCACACGTTGACCTTCCGGCAGTCGCTGCCCAAGGTCGCGCCGCCGGTGCGCTGAGCGGCACCAGCTTTGCGCAGCACCGTGGCATGCGGCTCGTCATGGGTGCAGTTTCGTAGACCGTCCCCCTGGATCGCTGCTCCTCTGCTGCAGGGCCCGTATCTTGGTGTGTTTCAGGCGCGCAACCAGGGCGGCATCCTGCTCTTCTGCATCGACATCAACTTCCGCATCGCCGTATGGCCAGCATGAACATGCCATGCTGAGCTGCCAACACGGGCAGTGGCGGCGGCGACAGTACGGTGGCGGTGGCGGGGCGGGACGCGGCGCAGACGCCATGTCGCCTGCTCCAGCCGCCGGCAGGGCATTTGATCACACCTGCACGTCTCTGTGCTCGCCACTCCAGGCCCCCAAGCACCCTAAAACCAGGACAGCTGCACAAATTCTTTTTGCCGCTGCTGGCCCTCACCGCCCCTTGTCATTTCCAATCGCAACAGCATGGCCGAGTGGCACGTGTCTGGTCCATACCAGCAGCAGCAGCACACCGGTGTGCCGGCGCAGTCTGGAGGTGGGCCGGAGTGGTATAGCGCGGGCGGCGCTTCTCAGTACTCGGCCACCAGCTACAGCTATGAGACGAGCCGGGGCACGCAGGGCGGGGCGGCCTACGGATCATTCGAGGACGAGGCTCCTCTGCTTGAAGGTGGGAAACGCCCCTGAGAGCCGTGGGGTTGGCCGCTGTTGGAGTTGCCGCGCGGCGATCGACGCTGCTGGCACTTGGCAAGCGAGCTCGCCGCCGCTCGCGCCGCCACCCGCCCGCTGCTCGCCGCCAGGCTCACGCCGCTGCCGCTGCCTCTCTGCGTCCCCTCCAGAGCTGGGCATCGACATCCCCGCCATCCTCAGCCGCACCCGCAGCATCCTGACCTTCCGGCTGGCGGGGCACGACATGGATCACCTGGATCTGGGAGGCCCGCTCATCCTCATGGCGCTGCTGGGCTTTGCACACCTGCTGGTGCGGCGGCACGTGCTAGCAGGGGACAGGCGGGGCGTGCGCGGGGGCGCAGCATGGCGCTTGTTTGGTGGGCAGCAGCACAGCGGGACCAGACTGGTTTGCAGGCTGGTTGGTGCCCGCCTCATGATGGAGCTGTTGCTGCCGCACTTGACAGAGAGCTCGTGTTGGCGGGTGGCTGCAGGTCGGCAAGATGCATTTCGGATACATCCTGGGCTGGATGGTGGTGGGATCCATGCTGCTGTGGTGAGCAGACGTGCCACGCCGCCGGCAGCGCCACGAGCTGCAGCCCTGCCACCGCTGCATGCAAGCCGCTGCTCCGGCAGCAGAGCTGCCGCACAGCGTGCACGTGCCGACTGCCGCAGCAATAGGGTGTTACCAGCGCCTGGCATCCACCGTGCCTGCTGGCTCACCCTTCCGTGCGTAGCCTACGAGAGCCCACACATTCCCCGCATGCGCGTCGCGCTGCCCCACCCCCACCCCCGCGCTGCAGGTTTGTGCTCAACAGCATCACGGGGTCGGAGGACCCCGAGGCCAAGTCTCTGGACCTGTACAGCTGCACCTGCCTGCTGGGATACGCGCTGCTGCCGCTGGTGGCCCACGCCTTCCTGGCCCTCGCCGTCCCGCGGTGAGCAGGCCGGAGGCAGGGAGCCCTCGACAGGGGCTTGCGTGGCGCGTGTTTGGGGGGGCAGCCCAGCTGCCGGCGAGCTGCTGCAGGTGTGCCGTGCATGCGCCTGCCGCTGGCCGGCGAGCACAGCGAAGGCAGGGAGCCATGCTCGCTCCCCTTCAGCCCTCGGGTCATGCTGCTGACGCTGCCTGCCTGCCTGCCTGCCCACCTTTCCTGGCTCCCGCCACCGCAGGCGATCGGCGCCCAGCATGGCGGCCGGCGGCGTGGCGGTTCTGTGGGCCTCCCACACCGCGGCCAAGCTCTTTGTGCGGCGCTCGCCGCTGCTAGACGGGCAGCACTCGGTGGTGCTCTTCCCCTGCCTCCTCATGTATGCCTCCTTCGCCCTCCTCTCCCTCTACTGAGGAGATGAGAGCCTGTGGGCGCGCTGCTCTGCCCGCTCGCACTGCCACGAGGGGCGCCTGGCGCACGTCGTTCTTGCCTGTGTAACATACGCCTGCAGATGCCCAGGGCGTCAGCTGAAAAGAGGCAATGTATGCGGAGGAGTTGGCAGGCATTTTTGGACAAGGGGGGGATGGTTGGATGGATCGGCTTGGCTAGGGGATCGTGCCTTCTCGTCTTCCCCTTGCTTTTTTGAGCTCTGCGGCTGCTCCGCCTTCCGTGCCGCCACCAAGCTTCAGCCAATGCCGCTTCTTCGTCGTGTCAAGCCGCATCCACAACTGCATCCAGCAGCCACAGGCCAGCCCAAAGGCCAGGTGCAGCACCCCTTGCGCGAAGTGGCACGCCACATATACAAGCAGGTTCCACCGTTTGAACCCTAGCACACGGCCTCAAGGCGGCGCAGCAGCATGTTTCTAATGGCAATGGCGGGCGAGCAAAAGTCGAGTTGCATGCAGCTTTTCGGATGGGTGTCCCTGCTGTGCGCGGCGCGCCCGCTGGCGCATGGTGGGCACCTGATGAGTAGCCAGGTCCTCTGCCACAGTCTTGTTTTTCTTGCTGCTGGCTGAGACATCTTGGAAACTAGGAGAGAGGCAGCTCCAGCCATGACCAGTCGCCAGGAGCAGCTACCCTCGCTGTTCCACCGCGCCGCTGGCCAGGGGCTGGGCCTGGCCAGCCGCGCCCTGCACTGGCTGGACGGCAGCAGCAAGGCGCACCTTGGGAGGTGAGGGGGCACCTGCGCCGCCGCGTCCATTGCCGTCCAGCCCTTTCCTCTGCCACCTGCACCCACCCCTCGACCTCTTCCTGCGTGCAGCGAGTACATGAGCGGCCCCTTCGCCCCTGTGGAGGGAGAGGCGTACGAGGCTGAGATGGAGGTGGTGGAAGGCGCCGTGCCGCCCGACCTCGTCGGCGCTTTTGTGCGCACAGGTGGGCGCATGTGACGCCGTCGCCGGCGCCTGCTGAGGCTCCATCTGCTGCCCGCCCTCCATCTGATGCCCGCCCTGCACTACGCATGCGTGGATGCAATTTCCGGCTGACCCACTCCCCGCGCCGCCGCAGGCCCCAACCCCAAGCTCCCGCCCCTGGGCGGCTACCACTGGTTTGACGGCGACGGGCAGGTGCATGCCGTGCGCTTCCACGGCGGCGGGCGGGCCAGCTACGGCAGCCGCTGGGTGCGCACCGCCAGGCTGGAGCAGGAGGAGCGCATCGGGGTGCCGCTGGGCGTCAAGAGTGAGTGGCCGGTGCTGGCCGGTGTGGTGAACACGCCAAAACCATGCTGTGGCCTGGAGCTTCACCACTCGCCGCCCTGGCTGCCTGTACAGTCGGCGACTTGCACGGCTGGTCTGGGCTGGGCCACCTGGCGCTGGGCAAGGCGGCCCAGTGGCTGGGCGTGATGCCAGCCAAGGTGATGTGCTGGGCCTCTGTGCTCCCCACTGCCTGCCTCCTTGGCCTGAGTAGCAGGCCTGCCCTTTTCAGCCCTGGCGGCTGCACACCAAATGGCGCGCGCCCCTGTTTCTGCTGCTCTACTGCGAGCGCCGGCTGGCGCCTCAGCTGACCATGCTGCAACTGCAAGCGCCGAGGTGCAGGATGGCATGGGCACCGCCAACACGGCGCTGGCGTTCCACGCTGGGCGCCTGCTGGCGCTGCAAGAGGCCGACCTGCCGTACAGCCTGCGCATCGCGTGCAGCGGGCTGGTGGAGACCGTGGGGCGTGTGACCTTTGGGTGAGGGCGGTGGTGGCAGCAGCTCCAAGCGCCAGGGCAGCATGGGGGGGCGGCAGGCCCAACGGGCAGGGCGAGTGAGCTGGAAGACAGCGCCGCGCCAGGGGCCTCTCCTGTGTCACTTCCACCCTCTCCTGGGCCAGCCCGCCACCATATTGCCTTCATGCGCCTGCCCCACACCTTCTGCCTGCCTGCCTGCCTGCCTGCCTGCAGCGGCCAGGTGCAGCACGCCTTCACGGCGCACCCAAAGAGGGACCCCGAGACGGGGGAGCTCTTCTACTTCGGTTACAGCGTGGAGAGGAAGCCGTACTGTGAGTGAGGGCAGCTGTTCTCTCGTTCCCCGCTGCCCTGACAAGCCTCGCAACCCTCTTATCCAGCTGCCGCCCCGCCTGTTCCTCTCACCCCCTGCCCCCTCACACCTCCAGCGCCACCCCTGCACCGCCCCCGTCTGCTGTGCCAGGCTGGTACGGCTGGCTGGACGCGGCAGGCGGGGTGGTGCGCGACCTCCCGGTGCCGCTGCCCGAGCCCGTCCTCATGCACGACTTTGCCCTCACCGCCCGACACGCGCTGCTTCTGGATGTGCCGTTGGTGTTCGACCCACAGGCAGGTGGCGTGGCTGGCGGTGCATGAGGGCTGGCGGGGTAACCAGCGCGGAGTGGGTGGTGAGAGGAATGGTGGTGTGGGTCGAGAGACAGGCTGGAGCACTGTGCGGGGGTGGGGGTGGGGAAAGCCGCGCCTTGTCGAGGCGCCTCCAAGTAGCGGCTCCCCGCCGCGACTGCAGGTGATGGTGCGGCAGGGCACGCTGCCGTTTGTGCTCAAGAAGCGGCCGCTGAGGATCGGGGTGCTGCCTCGCTACGCCGAGTCGGCCAAGAGCATCCGCTGGTTTGAGACGGGTGGGTGTGGGTCGGGGTTGCTGGTCATGTGGGGCTTTGGTGTGGGTGCACAGTTGGTTCTGGCAACAAAGTGGCAGCTTCGTGGGGACCGGGTGCTGCCTGGGGGCACCCGCTGGGCCTCCACGCAGGTCACTCCTCCCACAGCCGCTTCCGGGTGCGCCCGCTGCCTGGTCCCGCTGCAGAGAGCGCCCACTGCTTTCATGTGGCCAATGCCTGGGAGGAGGGCGCCACCATCCGCCTCCACCTCTGCCCCGCCAAGCACTTCAGGTTTGGGCGGCGCTTGGATGGCAGCGGAGCGGCGAGCGCGTCGCCGCCACCTCAGCCCTGCTACCGCCAAGCCGCCCGGAGGATGCCAGCACTGGGGGCATGCGTGTGCTCCTCGCCGGCCACCTGTCACTACACCCACACCGCCGTACATACCCGCAGCACTACACACACACAAGCCGCACACAGCTGTCCCCCACCCCTCCGGCCTGCGCCGCCTGCCCCTGCAGCCTGGACAGCTTCCACGCAGGCGACGACGCCTGGCCGCACCTGTGTGAGGTGGTGCTGGATCTGGAGGCAGGCACCTGCACCGGCCTGCGCCGCCTCTGCCCCCTGCCCTGCGAGTTCCCAGTGGTGCCTGCCAGCCTGCTAGGTGGGGTCCCAGTTCCGCGGGCAGCGCCACCGCACGCATGTATGCGCACGTGTGTTTGTGTGTTGGTGTGCCTGCGTGTGTGGCGGCGGGATGGGGACAGCAGGATCCATCCGCATGCTCCCCGCACGCTAATGCTGCTGTGTTTTGCCTGCTGCCACATCGGCAGCTGGTACCCAGGCTTTGGCTGCTGCTGCCGCCGGCTGGTGCAGGCCGCCCCACGCGCTACGCCTACATCAGCACGTTTGAGGAGGGGAGGGGCGGGCTGCCTGTGTTCAGCGGCATCGCAAAGGTGGACCTGCAGGTGGGTGGCAGCCTTGTGGGGGGCATGTGGAGCAGGCTCCTTCTGCCTGCCTTCTGTTGTCACTCTGTTGAGAGGCACTGGTGGCTATGCTGAGTAGGGATAGGCTCTGCTAGAAGGGCACCCTCGACAGCAAGAGTGTGTTCCACCCAACCCAATGCCCCTGCTGTGAAGGCCCCTGGAGAGAACCGCGGGCTGGTGGGCACCATCCAGCACGTCGGGCGGCGCCTGGGCGGCGAGGCCTACTTTGTGCCAAAGCCGGCGCCGGGCAGCGGCAGCGCTGCCGGCAACGGCACTGCTGCCAGCCACCGCGCCAGTCGGGTTGGGCAGGCAGAGGACGACGGCTACCTGATGACATTTGTGGTTGATGAGGGCAGCGGGGCAAGCGAGCTGGTGGTGTATGATTCGGCCAGCATGAGCGACGTCCCCGTGGTTCGCCTGGCGGCGCCCCAGCGCATCCCGCTGGGCTTCCACTCCACCTGGGTGACCGGTGCAGAGCTGCAGGCGCAGGGAAGGGCAGAGGAGGCTGTGCATGCATGATTCTGGGTTGCAACCCATGGGTTCAAATCGCACAGTGTAAAGTCAGGGCCCTGGGTGCATGGGGTGCTGCGCTGTGGTATGCTCAGCGCAGCGTGCCGCCAGGGCTATTTATGTGCGCCGACCCACACATCTCGCCACTTCGCCTTTCTGTTCCACTCGTGACACCTCCGACTCGCTTTCAAGTGGATCAGCAATGGTTGCCCTTGCCGTCTCTGCCGCCCTGCGGGTCCCCGCAGCCTCTCGCGCCTCCCAGCGCCCTCAGACCCGCCGCGGCCTGGCCGTCGTGCGGGCCTCTGGCGATGAGCAGGCCAATGGGGGGAACGAGGGTACCTTCTTTTACCGCGGCAAGACCTACACACCCGAGGAGGTGAGCGAGTTTGGCGTTTGCAACCACTCAAACGCCGACGCTTTGGCCGGTTTGCACCTGCAAACGGCCTACAAGCGCGTGGCGCGGGTTTGCACTGGGTAGGCAAGGCGTTTGTGTGGTGCATTCCGCCGCCGCCATCGGCGCCACACCGCCACATGGCCTGCGCCACACCTCCCGGCCGATTGCCCGCCTTTGCACCTCACAAACGGCTCGCCTGCTCCTCGTGCCGCCCAATCTGCCGCAGTGGAAGAAGGCTGTGGCCGACGGCTCAGTCAACCAGGCGGCGCCCACCCCTCCCGAGTTTGCCGCCGAGGCTGCGCTGGCGTCTGGCGAGGTGCTGTCCCTGGGCGAGCTCATGGCCTTCTCCGGCCCCGCCCCCGAGCTGATCAACGGCCGCCTGGCCATGCTGGCATTCATCGCCGCCCTGGGAGCGGAGCTGTCCAGCGGCGAGGGCGTGCTGCGGCAGTTCGCCGAGGAGCCCACGGGTGAGCGCCCGCCGCTGGCTGCCGACAGCGCGGCGCCGCCTGGCCTGGCTGCTGCTGCTGCTGCTGCTGCTGCTGCTGCCATGCAGTGCTCCACACAAACCGCTGAACCCCTCCATCCCAGCACGCTGGACCGCCGGCCAGGCTGCTGACTGGTGTTTCGTGTGCCCTGCACTTCTGTGCGTGTCGTACAGGCGTCTTCCTGGCCGCCGTCACCTTCGCCGCCGCGACGCTCATCCCTCTCATGTCCTCCACCAAGCGCGAGGCCTTTGGCCCCTTCACCCCTTCAGCCGAGATGCTCAACGGCCGCGCAGCCATGCTGGGATTCTTCGCCCTCATCGCCACAGAGGCGGTGCGCGGCGGCGCTGCGCTCTTCTGATGTGATGTGCCTGCCTGCCCGTGTGGCGCAGACCCCCTCGCGCCGGCACCCGCCAAACTACCCCGCTCCCACCCAGCATCTGCCTCTGACCCCCCAGCATGCTGGTGTATTACGCTGCTCAAATGAACCCCCGTATGTACACCCCATTTCATCTTCCTGAATTTCATCCCAAAACTCAGAGAATCCCTCCTCACGTATTTTTGAATGCGCGTTTGCTTCGGATGTTAGCCCAAATGCCATTGTCACCTCTGTCTTTTTTGTAACGCAACTAGCGTCACACAGTCTCGGCAGCTATCACAGGGCGAGGAGGCCAGCCCCGCCAGTAGTATCTGTGCCAGTGCCTGAAAGGGTGACCGGCTGTGTCGTGGTGCCAGCAAGTATCAGGCTGGCGCTGGTGGCTCAGATGCGGCAGGCTCCATCAGCCGCCGTATGGTGGTACCCGAGTCGTGCGCTAGCTGCAGGCAGCAGACACAGCGTTACAAACCCCATACAAATGCACAACTGTTGCATCATGATCGATGCCAGATGCATGCGCTAGCGGCAGAAGAGCCCAAGGGCTTTCTATACGCGAGAATTATCCCTTGGCAGGCTGCGCTGCCAGGCAGGCTGCCCCTCCGCCGCTGACTTGGCCTTCACACCAGGTTGGCGAACACGGGGGGCACCGCCACCCAGGGCAGTGCCTGGGAGGCTTGCTGGAGCTTTCTCCTACTCGGCGGCCTGCTGCCTCGCCAGCCGCTTGCACTCCTGCTTGTGCCCGCCCTCCTTCCAATGCTTGACCTGGCAGGCCCGGCTGCTGTAGGCCACCGCGCGGCAACAGGCCACAGCTTCAGCTCGCAGAGCATAGGTGGGCTGTCAGGGCCAGCACAGAGCACCTCAGGGACCCCGGGAGTACAGCCCCAACCCGACCCGGGCCGCCCGCTGCGCCCTTCTGGCCGCCGCCACCCGGCAGGGCGTGTCCCGTTTGTGAGCGAATGTCACATTAGGAGCTGATTGGCTGTTCATCTCTGCCTCCGCACTACCACCGCCGCCTCTTCTGAAGGCGAAGGTCCCTTTTGGATGGACCCCGACCAGGATCCTCCAGACTTAATCGCCGCTGTCATCGATGGTGATGAGCAGGCCGTGCGGCGGATGCTGGCAGCCAACCCGCAGGCAGCAGCAGCTACACACATCGCAGACATGATGGCACTTCATTTTGCAGCAGTGAATGCCAATTGCGGAGTGGCGCAGCTTATCCTGGCAGCAGCCCCCGAAACCATTTCAGCCAGGTCACTCGGGCTAATGCCGTTGCACTTTGCAGCCGTCAATGGGGCAAGCGCTCTTGTGCAGCTGCTGGTAGAGGCCGACCCTGCTGGTGCCTGTGTGGCAGACGAGTATGGCAGCACCCCATTGCATGCGGCATTGCAAGGCTTGCAGGACGGCGGCAGGCATGAGTCGTACCTTGCCACGGCCCGCTGCCTGGTGCAAGCAGCGCAGACTGTGCAGCCAGCCCTGGACGCCCTCAATGAGCCAGCCTTTCAGCATGAACGCCGGTCTCCACGCCGACCTGGTGCGTCGCCTGCCGCTCACCCAAGAGCAGTGGCAGCTGGTTCCGGCGCCCTGCCCTCACCTGGAGCGTGCGTTGCCGGCGGTGGCGGCGCGCTCTACTGTTGAGGCCGGCTGGCTGGTGGGGCGGCTCGCTGCGGACCGGCGGGCTCGCCTGCGCACCGCAGCGCTCAGCCTGGCCGAGCTGCGCAGGCTGCCTGCCCTGCCCGCCGAGCTGAGCCAGCGCATCCTGGTGCTGGCCCTGCAAGACTGAGTTTTGAGCGGACCTTGCTCTGCTATATGTACACACACATGCACCGTTTAAGACCCTTCCTTACGAACCAAGGACTAGGCAGCAGGTGTGGAAGCTGAGCAGGCACCCCAGCGACTGGCCGACAGGCAGCGGGCTGCCATTCTGTCGGGCGCAGCATGGTAGCGGGCCACCCGACAGATGCTGCACCGTGCTGCCAGCGAGCGGTCGGGATCACTGCCGCCTGCTCTTCTTTGGCATGCCGCCCGCCACCGTTGTGACCGCCGCCCGCTTGGCATTCTTCCCCACCTGGAGGCAGCAAGGCACGGGGTGGGACCGCGGCGCCGGAAGTGCCATCCCCTGCCGTTGGGCAGGCGCCTGCCCTGGGCCGGACGCAGCCGTAGCCACACCACATCCCGCTGCCTGCATCTGCCCCGCGAGACGCAGCCGGCCCAGCCACACCCCGCGCCCCACCTGCTCGTCATGCTGTGCCATGTGCTTGGAGAAGCGGATGGGCTCGATGATGACGCCCGCATCCTTGAGCACCGCTGGGCGCGTGAGGTTGCGGAAGGACACATCTGCGCGCAGCGAGCGAGCCAGCTACCCCCGGTGAGCGGCGGCAGCTTGCGGCAGGCGGGCGCGACCCGGCGCCCGCGACACGCCGGTCGCAGTCGCCGGGCAGGCAGGCCGGGGAGGCTGGCGGGCAGGCCGCCAGGCCAGGGCCAGCAGGCCAGCAGGCCAGCAGGCTGCACCCACCCGTGTTGTATTCGCGCCCCAGCGGCTGCCGCATCGCCCGCTCGTACGTTTCCTTGGAGTCAAAGGGGAAGGGCACAGAGGGGGTCTTGTACTTGCTGCTCTTCCTGCGGGCGCGGCAAGCAGGCGCGCGGGCGGGGCGGGGGCAGCGGGCGCAACTGCTTTCAGGCCGCGGTCGCTGGCGGGTGTGTGCGGTGCAGCGCAGAGCTCCGCTGCGCTGGGCACAGCTGGCAAGCGGGCGGCGCGGCGCGGCGGCGCGCATGCGGGGCGGAGCGGGAGGCGGTACGCCAGGCGGTACGACCCAGACCGCACGCACTTGTCCCACTTCTCGCTGATGACGACGTACTCCAGCTTGGCGTCCTTGCGCCCCGCCGCGGCAGCCTCCTTGCGACTGCACGGGGATGGGGCGGATGTGAGAGTGTGGGTGGTGATGGTTGTGGCAGGCAGGCGGCACGTGGATGGCATCGTGATCTTCCAACCAGGGCAAGGCAGGGCAACGCAGCCCGCCGCGACGCAGGAGCCGGCAGGCGCAATCGGCCCGGGGCGCCACTCACGCCTGCGCCTTGCGCTTGGCCTCTGCCGCCCACCGCGGCTCCCGCTGCTGCCCCGCCCAGGTGCCCCACCCCGGCAGCACGCCAGGCACCTCCTCCTGCAGGGGCGGAGGCAGGAAGGGGCAGGCAGGGCGTTCAGGCAAGCGGCCCGACCTGGCCAGCCATGCCGCACACACATCCAGCCAAGCAGGTAAAGACCCACAACCCAGACAGCCTGGCCCCCTGCCTGCCTGCCCGCCCGCCCCAAAGCCCGCCGCTCCTCCGCCACCTCCACCACCAGCTTTCCCACCTTTGGCAGCTCCCCCTCTATCTCTTCGGCCTTGCGGGCAGAAAACTCCGCCGCCACGTCGTCTCCCGCAAAGGCGCGGCGGACGAGCTCGGCCTGGCTCAGCCCCGAGCCCTGCACAGCCAGGTGGCGGCAGCACGCCAGGTCAGCACACGGCAGGCGCAGCATTGGCGAGGCACCGCCGCGACCAACTACGGCTGGCAGGGTGGCACACAGCATACACAAAACACACACACACACGCACACACACACACACACACATACACACCTGCACCGGCTGCATGTTCCGTTCATCCTCGCTGCCCGCCTCCTCTTGCAGCTGCTGCTGGCCCTGCTGCTGCCGTTGCTGCCGCCGCGCCGCCGCCTCCTGCTTCTTCTGCCGCTGCTGGGCGGCACGGGACGCCTTCTGCGCCTCTGCGCCGTCCAGATAATAGCCCACACCTGCAAGGAGGCGGCAGTGAAGCACGCAGGGCAGGGCAAGGCAAGGTCAGGCAAGTTAAGGGAAGGTAAGGAAGTGTCATACCACGACAGAAGGGTAGGGTCAGCCAGCACAAAGGTGGCCCATTGCCCAACAGAGAGCACACTCGAAAGCGCGGCGGCCGGGGCAGCTCGAGGAGACAGCGCCTGCCCGCTCACCCTGCGGTCCTTTCTTGAAAGCGTATCCGGGGCGCGGCCCCTTGAAGCTCTTGCTGCGCACAAAGGCCGCCGGCGCCTGCTCGCCGCCGCCGCCCTCGCCCTGCTGCCGGCCGGCCGCCGCCACCGCCGGCGCAGCGCCGTTCTGCTGCCGCTCTGCCGCGGTGCCGGAGGCGGGCCCCACGCTGACACCCGCCGCCAGCTGCCGCTGCCTGGGCGCGACGGCAGCCGCTGCCGCCAGCGCGGCCTCGCCCTGCTTGCTGCTGAACAGCCAGTCCGGCTGTGCCGCTCCGCCGCCCTGCTGCTGCTGCTGCTGCTGCTGCTCCTCCTCCTCCTCCTCCTCGCCGTTCTCCTGTTGCTGCGGCTGGCCCAGCCGCTTTCCTAGCCGCTGTGCCTTAGCCTCTGCATCCTCGTCCTGCAGGCAGCAGCAGGAGCGGCATGTGTGTCAGAAGATGTCCGGACACGGCGGCACAACATAATCGACTGCTCTAATTGTTCAAGCGGCAGCCCTGCCACCCACCGATGCAAGCCCAAGCACGCCTCTGGCAAGCTCATGCACCCCCCACACACCACCCACGCCCACCTCGTCGCTGCCAAGGTCGCTGCCGCCGTTGAGCGCCGCCGCCTCCATGCGCGCCACGCGCTGCCACTGCTGCCGCTGGTCCACGCCGGTGCCGGTGAAGGCCAGGCGGCCGCCGCGGCCGCCGAGCGCCGCCCCGCCGCTGCCGCCGTCCAGCTCCTGCAGCGCCTCCTCCGCCGCCTGCTGCGCCTCAACCTTCTTGCGCTCCAGGGCCCGCCGCATGAAGGGCAGGGCGAAGAGGCCGGTGGAGGGGGCCTCGCCCTCGGCGTTGCCTGCGGGGGGTCAGGCAGGTAGCGGGGTGCGATGTGTGCGGGGTAGGGGTGGGCTTCCAGTGGCCCAGCCAAGGAGCAGGTTGGCAGGCATCCCAGGCAGACAGCCCTCTCCAGCCAACCACACCCACAAACCCACACAGCCCCATCCCCGAAGCCTCAGAAGAGCAAACCCATCTGCCGCCCACCCCACCTTCCAGCAACTCCAGAGCCGCCGCCTTGACCTTGCCGCTCATGCCGCGCCCCGCCTGCGGCCCCGCAAACGTGTCGCCGCCGCCGCCGCCGCCGCCGCCGCCGCGCGCCGCGCCCTCGTCGCCGCTGCCCCCCTCCTCGTCTGCGGCAGCAGCCAAGTGGCGGCAGCAGCTAGAAGCAGTGATCACGGCAGCAAAGCAAGCGGCGCTGCGGCGCCACAGGCATTAGGCGCTCCAGCAGGCGGCTGGCTGACCGGCAAGCAGGGCAGGGGGTCACCTGATGCGGATGTGCTGGCATCGCTGTCGCTGCCCTTGGCTCCCTTCATGCGGTTCACCTGCGCAGGGCAGGCAGGCAGGCAGGTAGGCAGGCAGGCAGGCGGGCAGAGGCAGGCAGCCGCTCACGCCCCTGTCGCCGCCACCCGCGCCCTCACTGCGCCCGCAGAGGCTCCGGGAGGCCCTGCCCGCCAGCCAGCCCAGCCCCCGCCAAGCAAGCAGGCATCTCGAGGCAGCCCGCCCCGGAAGCCGCGCCGCGCCGGCTCACCCGCTGCCTCAGCTCCTGCCCCAGCCGCAGCTGCTCCTCCAGCGCGGCCTTGGTGCCCTCGTCCATAACGGGCTGCCCGCGCCGCAGCGCGCGCCGCGCCCACCGCGACGTGTTCTTGTGCTTCAGCGTCAACCGCTCCTGCGGGGCAGGCGGTGGTGTGCGGGGTTTTGTTGGGAGGTGCGGTGGGGTGCAGGGACACGCCTGAAGTGTTGCGGTTGATTGGGTACCACCGGTGGGTTGCATGGATGTTCACGCATGCCACGGTATGTGTTGCACCCTGTACATGTCGAAGCATGCGCGGGAGGGAGAAAGCACAGCCACACGAGCGGGCGCGTCCACCCCCTCCTGGGCTCCCCACCAGCCGCTCACCTTTGCCCTGTCAAACTCCGCGTGCTCCTGCATCAGACGCAGCTCCTCCTCCTCCTCCCCCGCCTCCCCCGCCTCCGCGGCCCGTCGCTTCTCTGCAGCCGGGCGCGGGCAAGAAGTGCGGGCAGGTCAGCGCAGGCCTGCGCTCCTGGCCCCACCACCTTCTTCTGCTTCTGGCAATCCCGCCACGCTCCCTTGCCCAGCTGCCCGCCATCACACTCCGA